GCTTTACTTACAACGAGAGTGTCAACAGTCCCAAGAAACTCGTGGAATAGTTATTTTATCAATAGTAAAAAATCTCTGATTTTTGAGCTGGGAAATTTTTATACTTAGCTTTTTGGAATGCTCGTGCCGTAAAGTACTTTTCTGAATATATAATTTCATGATATTTAGCATTGTTTTTAAAGTAGAATGTTTATACGTTATCACTTTAAAAGCAGAAAGTAAAATATCAAAGTAGTAATAGTAAATTTTCATAATAACAATTTTTAAAGTAGACTGTATCACAAAATCACTATTTATATATAGTTATTTTGAAAATTTACACTTTTTTAAAAAGTAATTTTTGAATAATACACCTTTCAAAGTAGTAAAATTACAATACTACTCTTTTCAACAGGAAAAACAGAAAACAAAAAAGAAAAGATAAATTCTTTGGATTGAAGATCAACGTAGTGGAAACATCAACTGACGCAGAAGCTCGCAACTACATAATCTATTTATCTATCCCTATAGGTACTGTTGTACACACAATCACGTACAATTGTGTGTTTGAATTTTAATTACTGTGAAAACTTTGAAGAACATTAACATGGTTTAAGTAAAGAATAGACTAGAACTAAGTAATTCTCGAGAACAAATCGCATGTTTGCAGACAAAGTGCAAGTAATTCTGTTCTTTCAACTTCATCTGCAGTGATTCCAATATATATTACGTGATTCGCATTTGCTACACTCTCGCCTTCGATATATTTTCGAGAACCTGGCCTCACGTATTCAATCACATCACTTAAATTAATTAAATAAGGCATTATTAACTACAACCCTACAAATAATCACAGTAGAACAGCCGTACATTAAAACCAGACGATTCCCTTTAAATTTAAATCATTGGCGGCTGGACTCAACTCGAGTTCAGATAAAATACTCTTGGGGCACTAGGAGTCGATTTACATCTCACATAGTACACCATACCGTGCATACCGCTCGGCTTGCCAACTTTATCCTGTATATGAGCGCGTGGTGGCTCAGTCAGCGCAAGGTCGTGGATTGGCACGCAGGAGACCGTAATTCGATTCCCGGCCAGCGCGACTTTTTCGGGCAAGTGCCTCTGTGATTTTTCACATGTGCTCTTTCACGACATAATGCTGTTCGAGGGGAGGCAACCTTCTCGCAGAAAAATTGTCTAATTTCCCCCTACCACTTTCCATCCTTTTCCTTGGTTGCCTTAAATTGCAAGTTCGCTCTACATAAACGTGCATGATTATATTACTGTTACTAATATTGCAAATGTTTTATTACTGTTACACAAGGATTTTTCACTCAATTAGTAAAGAAAAGTAGATGATTAGTTTAAGTTTGATAAAATAGATATTACAATAGTGGTGCGACAGTGCTCAACTTTTAAAACTATCTGATACTTGATTTACGATGCTATAGCAGTAAAAATAAACTTTAAAAGGATGCTAATAACGCAAGTTTTTTAAATACTCTCATATTCGTAGAATGTGACAAGATCGCGTACGTAAAATTATTAAAGAATTATATTGATGCTTTTTAATATAATTTACGGTGGTAATCATAAGTAAAAAGAATTTATTAAATCCGACTTTTTTAAATATTCCTAAGTGCTTAATAGAATGAGTTTTTCTCTTAATTTATTAACAATTTATTGAAATGAGGATCTCTTGCTTTTAAACTTTTGCTCATGGTAATAATTTTGTTGAAAAGTCGTTTGTTGATAATGTTAGATTGTCACATAATAATTTCAACAGTGATTTGAAAAAACTTCTATAATTATTTATAAATAATAAAGACGTCTTTTACAATAACCCTTGCGCATCAGCTAATGTCAACAATAACAATCTAAGCTCCAATTGCATAATTAATTAGATTTTTGACATTGAATAAAAAACAAATCCTAAGACCTTTGAAAAATTATAGAAAGTCTATGCGACCTATGCAATGACCAATATCGCAAAGAAAAAGTGAGAAGTATTATGACTTACCTGTATAAAATGTATGTACGGCACGAGAACGTGGGCATCAACAAAAACTTGATCAACTCCCTTGTACTTTACGCGATACACGAGGCTTTTACGCCTTCTTGTGACCGCAAACTAGCGTATATCTAATCTTTCTTACTTTACGCGATACGCGATACGTTTTACGATTCACGGGGTTTCACGTGCCCACAGCCTAAGTTACAAAGCGATTCATATTAACACCTTCGAACAGGAGATCACAAAAGTTTTTTGAGGTAGCTCCCTTGTCTATATACAATAATGAAAAGTTTAACAGTAATATTAACGAAACCCAAGTACAGCCAAGTGTAGCCTAGACAGCCAAAGTCTAAATGCAGTCGACCACCCATACCTACATAGATATTTACGTACACCTAGCCGAAGTACATTTTTATGTTCTTTGCATAATATATGTAAAAAAATAATCTCATCACTCTTGATAAGAGTCTCCAGAGGTAGAAGAGNAAAATTTCATTTTAGATTTGTGTGTACAAATTTTAATAATATAGGGCCTTCAATATTTATTTGGCAGTAAGTACATATAGTTGCTTAAAGATAAAAATGAAGTCTTGTATTTCAATAGTCTTTGAAGTAATCTTTGTTAAAACAAAGTTTTTTTTTCTATTCTCATGGTAAATGAATTCCAAATTTATTTTAAAAGTTTTTTAATATTATAGGGCATTACAATAACTAAATTTTTTGTTTTTCATCATCTTATAATAATACTGGATTTTATTTTTATTAATTTTTTTTATGAATCACTTATGTACCAAATCTTAGGAATGATCAGGGATACATCACAATTTACTTTTACCTGTAAAACTAACATAGGTTTATGCTTTTATCATATATCTAGTATACAAACTAAAGACTCTACTTAAACACTTTCAAAGAATATTATCTCTTAAGCTATAAAATACGTAATCATCTAGGCATCAAGATACCGAATCACGTGTGTTAACAGCTTAAAAACAAAATGACGCTAGTAGTAACAATAAAGAAGAGTGGAGTTATGATAAGGTCAGGTAACAAACAGCAGATGGTAACTTCTCCTTCTACATTGCCGTGTAAACTATCTTAATTGCCGTTTAGCAAATCACAATCATACAGCTATGAATAGTGGGTAACAAGCAATATTGATTGTCTAGTGTCTCTACATACTATGTGTATGGTTCTTTGATTCTATGATGGCTACGCATATGATATAATTGCGTAATGATAATAATATGCCTATGCATATAATTGTACTTTATTTCTTGGAGGCCATCATCAACGATGCTTTACTTACAACGAGAGTGTCAACAGTCCCAAGAAACTCGTGGAATAGTTATTTTATCAATAGTAAAAAATCTCTGATTTTTGAGCTGGGAAATTTTTATACTTAGCTTTTTGGAATGCTCGTGCCGTAAAGTACTTTTCTGAATATATAATTTCATGATATTTAGCATTGTTTTTAAAGTAGAATGTTTATACGTTATCACTTTAAAAGCAGAAAGTAAAATATCAAAGTAGTAATAGTAAATTTTCATAATAACAATTTTTAAAGTAGACTGTATCACAAAATCACTATTTATATATAGTTATTTTGAAAATTTACACTTTTTTAAAAAGTAATTTTTGAATAATACACCTTTCAAAGTAGTAAAATTACAATACTACTCTTTTCAACAGGAAAAACAGAAAACAAAAAAGAAAAGATAAATTCTTTGGATTGAAGATCAACGTAGTGGAAACATCAACTGACGCAGAAGCTCGCAACTACATAATCTATTTATCTATCCCTATAGGTACTGTTGTACACACAATCACGTACAATTGTGTGTTTGAATTTTAATTACTGTGAAAACTTTGAAGAACATTAACATGGTTTAAGTAAAGAATAGACTAGAACTAAGTAATTCTCGAGAACAAATCGCATGTTTGCAGACAAAGTGCAAGTAATTCTGTTCTTTCAACTTCATCTGCAGTGATTCCAATATATATTACGTGATTCGCATTTGCTACACTCTCGCCTTCGATATATTTTCGAGAACCTGGCCTCACGTATTCAATCACATCACTTAAATTAATTAAATAAGGCATTATTAACTACAACCCTACAAATAATCACAGTAGAACAGCCGTACATTAAAACCAGACGATTCCCTTTAAATTTAAATCATTGGCGGCTGGACTCAACTCGAGTTCAGATAAAATACTCTTGGGGCACTAGGAGTCGATTTACATCTCACATAGTACACCATACCGTGCATACCGCTCGGCTTGCCAACTTTATCCTGTATATGAGCGCGTGGTGGCTCAGTCAGCGCAAGGTCGTGGATTGGCACGCAGGAGACCGTAATTCGATTCCCGGCCAGCGCGACTTTTTCGGGCAAGTGCCTCTGTGATTTTTCACATGTGCTCTTTCACGACATAATGCTGTTCGAGGGGAGGCAACCTTCTCGCAGAAAAATTGTCTAATTTCCCCCTACCACTTTCCATCCTTTTCCTTGTCCCTTTGCTAAGTGCCCATATAGTAGCGCCCTTATTTAAAGGAACTGGACGTAGATCACTGTAATATGATATAAAAAAAAACGATATCCTATACCTATATAGTATCATTAATATGTACTGCTGTNNNNTATATATATATATATACACAACACCGCACAAACACACTGTAGTTAGATTTTAAAGAGGGAGAGAATATGTGGGGGGTAGCTCAGCGCCATGCAGCCCTCTGGTGATTAATTGTTTGATACTCCCTCATTTCTGCTATCACCCAGAACTATTTGTTAGTTGTTTATACTTTCCCTATAGCCACAAAACGTTTTATTCATACTTTTTGATGCACATTATTTGTGCGGAAATCTAGGTAATTTTAATACCAGATTCAATTTTACCCAATGGAATGTGTATCAAAACTGTGCTAATTTAGCCAAAAATATTGTGCACAAAAATGTTACTGGTAGAGCAGTAAACTGCATTCTCTCGCATGCCTTTCATTTTGTCGTTGGTTCGTATTTCACGTGTGTTCATCTTCGTCTTCTTTTAGTCCAATCTCTCATATTTTTAATTGAACACAAGCCTGGTATTCATGGACAAGCTGCCAAACATATTATCCTCTCTTACCAAGCTCTTATAGGAACAGAGAAGTAACTTTTATCTACTAAATGACAATAATAAAAACACTAATTCCATGGAGCAGGTTTCATGATTTCTTAAATTTAAAAGCTTAAGTAAGTTTTAAATAATTGATTTTTAAAATTGATTACTAATAGTATAAATAACTCAGCTACTTTGGATTCACGTTACTAAAACGTGTAGCTTAGCAGCAGAATGGTGGTGGGAGCTGTAATAAAGAAAAGTGGAGGCACAATGAAGATAAAAGAGTGACAATACATGGTAACCTTTTTTTTTATATTTCAGCGTGGGTTATCTTAATTACTGTTCAGCCAATGACAAACACTTACCTATATACAGTTGATGACGAGGCTTGGTTACCTTCTAGTGTCTCTACACACTGAGGATAGAGTGCTATAATTTTCTACTTGACTACTGCAACTAGTTTTGCAGGATCTACTTAAATAAGTAATAAATCTACAAGTCGTTTACTTTTGAGACATTTCTTTCATTTCTGTTAATTGTAAACAGACTAGACCAACGCCAGGCTTCAACTTTTCAAGTCTTAAGTATTTTATTTACAAAGTATTATCGAAGCGAGTCAGACACACCTTACAGTAAGCAACGATGAGTCCTCGAGGTTGGAAGGACCCACTGACTCTTATTCAGAGGATAAAACTACTTATTTTTCTCGTCTCACTTTCAGGCATGTATAAGTAAAAAATGTATACTCTAAATACCAAACTGTGGTCAATTTTCAATAATCACTCTGGTTGTTCTAAGGTTATAGTTACAACATGCCTTAATCTTTTAGCAATAATGCAACTCACAGTGCGTCTACCAGGACACTACAACTTTTTACTCTCGATCATTTAATAGTTTCTTTTATACGACAGTTTAGTAGACATATAAATTGAAATTGAGTATAAAGAACGTGCTGCTGCCATATATATAACAGGAGAGCTTTGAAGATGAGTGTTCTGGCTCTCTGTATTATTAGATCCATTAAATGATCCAAAAAATTCTTACATGAGCATAAAATCTCACAAAACCACTTTTTTGTCAAGTTTTACCTCCTCGGCCTCGTCTATGTCTAAAATACACACATATTTTTGTTTTTTTGCTAACCATATTTTTAATGACTTTTTTGCTGTACTCTTAAATATTCAAGTTGCTCAAATGTTTTAGATATAATATCGTAATAATATTTAATAGGATTCTGTTATTATCTGACTAGCTTCTCTGGATTTTTTGATTAGCTCAGATTCAAGCAAGCCAAAATGAAACTTAATTGTTAATTGGGAAATTTAATTTTTCCACAATATTTTTTAATTCAAGCTAGAAATAGAAAGCAGTGTAATTTTTAGTATTGGTATTTTGATTTCTAGGACTTTTTTCAGCTTTCACCGTATCAAAGACCATTTTTGTTTTTAATTTTTGGCCCTAACCGCACGATGTGTGAGTCTTTCGTGCGGGCCCCTTGCAAGGCTCTCCTCAGACGACTCGGTCATCCATCCTACTGGGTACTATTTTCAGGGTGCAGCGATTGTCTCAAGCACCCCTCATCTATTATCAAGTTTAATGGAACAATATTTTCTAATAAACCATCTAAGTCGCTATACTGAGACCCTTTTACAAACTAATAGTGACTTTACCCAATGAGCTGGCCAGATGTTAGCTTTTCTTTTGAATAAGAAGCCGTCGGAGGTCCAGACATCACCAGATAAATCGACTATTAGTTATATCACATCATATAAAACAAAAATCAGATTAGTGATTTTTTCGGCATCCTGGGTACTCATCCTATCCAAAAATTCCGAGAAATATCATAGCATAACCTGTATAAGTGTTATAACGTAACCTTTACACCTATGTACACGTATGATTTATCATTATCACCTTTTATATGTATTTATGGATTCATCGTTCAGCATTGATACATCGATACCGATGCTCATACTCGGATTTTCGAGTGTTGGAGCTATTCACATAGACATTTTTTGCTTAATTCATTGTGAACGTTCATATTGAAAAGGGGGCTCCACTGTTCCGCTAAACTCAAATTGAGTGAACAGACTGAACAGACCTATGCTGTGTTCTCTGTCAGCCAACATAGTTGCGACCATAGGCTTTGTTGCCTGATGGAAAAAGAGGTTTAGGTCTGTTCAGTCTGTTCACTCAATTTGAGTTTAGCGGAACAGTGGAACCCCCTTTTCAATATGAACGTTCACAATGAAATAAGCAAATAATGTCTATGTGAATAGCTCCGTTAAATCGTTATGGCCTATACCCACCATGCAGTTGAGTTTTCACGAGGCTAGCTATAGCTAGCTATGTAATTATGTGACTAACTTAGAAAGCAGTGTAAAGTACAATCATGCAAAACGTATGTAAATACTAGTATGCGATTTATCCAACGTTTAACCAAATGTGTGTTAACCTTTGCTAATGCTGAAGCTCCCGATGCTCATCACTCTCTGCATCACAAACTTTAGTCCTGATGTACCATTAAATTAGCTAAATAAAGTTTTTTTTAAAGATTATATGGCAGTAGAGAAATTTTTTTTTTTTTAACAAGAAATCATGCGATATGAAGAGAAAAAATTTTTGTCGTGAAAAATAATACTTACTTTAATATGCAATAAACGATCTTACTTAACTACATTAATTTTAAAGTCGATGAGATGGAAGAAAATTCAAGAAATAAGGATGTAAAACTTAAAAATTTTAGTACAGATACATAATCTAAACAGGCATACTTATCTGTGATTATAAAAAAAAAAGGAGCCTTGGTTAGTTAGAGACTTGCAATCTTTTGGTTCTTTTGTGGTAGCTTAGGTTTTTCACTTATAGGTATCGACCTAATTTATACCTGTGTAAACAGTATACTTCCTTAAAGAAACATCTGCTTTCCAGCTAAAAACAGTAGCTATATTTTTATTATAGAATTAATGTATTAAAATTTTATTTACAGGCTGCCATGGATTTAAGCCTCAGCTCTATCCAAATGTGACCGAGTTGCAAATAAACGAAGGAGATACCCTTAAGATAACGTGCATGAGCAAAGGCTACATTAATTTTCATTTTCCTACCAGCAATGCAAGAGGCAGAGTAAGTTAGATACTCTGATTTTTTTATGCACACATTGATTATAGGATGAAAATATTTTAGAAAAATAATAACTAATAATTGTTGTGTTGGAAAAAAAGACAACCTCTCAACCCGATATTATACCAGAAGGCAGGAGCACCAACAAGACATTTATTAGATCATCAACTGTTTTTGGAGACACTGGCTGGTATTGTTGTGCTGATGAAAGCAAACGAATAACAAATATGACTTTCAAAAACCACAATGAGCAAGGAGTTACTTGGATGTATGTTTATGTTAAATGTAAGAAAATTGCAGAATTTGTTTCATTTCTTCAAAAAATTTAGTATTTGTAACACTGCAACTTCACAAATTTGTTTGAAAAATTATTTATTTTTACTTGCAGCTAATAATAATCCATTTGTTCATGTAAATAAAAAAGGTAATTATCTACTTGCTTCTGGATGCAATACATACATAATTTTTCCATGCCAGACGACTTCGCCTGAGTTCAAAGTTACTCTAAAAGAAATGGAAAAAGTAATATTACTGAACCGAAGTATCCATTTATCGACTAAAAACTGCAAATTTTATAAGTATTTTTATTTTTTTAGGTATTTAAACTTGGTGAAAAGATAACTTATGATCCTAAGATTGGTTACATCGTTAATAATGCAAAAATTAATTACTATAGTGTATTTACTTGCTCAGTAAATCAAAACAATTCATCACAGATGATCGAAATAAAGATTGATTACCTTTCAATTTTTTTTTGTATGAGTAAACCAAATATTAAAGTGAATGGTCTAAAAGACATGACTGTAGGCTCGAAATTAAGTCTGAAATGTACTGTCAAAGTTAGAAGGGAAGCCCTTTACAACATTTTCTGGAAAATTCCCAATAATATGGTAAATTTTATTACTCGAAATTTTATGTCGTACACTTTTTTAAATCTATATTACAAATTATAAAGTACAAGCATTATTAGACTTCCAGGATAATTTTTAATAATGTGCAAGAAGTAGCAGAGAAGTATTACACGTATGATCTAATTACGTCTGAACTCATTGTTGACAATGTGACTTTCGGTGATAAAGGATATTACGAATGCCAAGTAAAATCATCGTTTAATAAAACTAAAAGTACTCATACATACATTTGCATATATGGTAAGTCACAAATACTGGTTTTTGTTAACTTTCTCGAAATAACTAATACGCTTTTACAAATATTTTTGGTAGATTCTAATAAACCATATATCCATTTGACGTCTAATAATAAAAACGTATACGGCAATTACGGTGACTCTGTGACTTTTGTGGCTTACGCCACTGCATGTCCAACACCAAATTTTAAATGGTAAGACCGAGAACTTCCTAAAATATTTGAATTAATAAACATCAGACTTAAGTAATATCTGTGATTAGTCTTATTAAGAAGTTCATTCTTTTTTAGGGTGGATAATCATGGTTTCAGAATTCATAGTGATCCAAGTCTAGGTTACTCAATACTAACAAAATACAACGAATCAACACTGAGCATGAGCTTGCGCATAGACAATATTAAACCTTTCAACAGGGGTTTTTATACACTCTCAGCTGGAAATATTGCTGGAAAGAAGGAACTAACATTTCATCTTAAATTTCTTGGTACACAAAAAATTTTCTATGCAGATCATAAAAGATTATAACTGCTCTTAATTCCACTTCCAATTATAATAACCCCATAAGACTGTTTATTTATTTTCATTACGAAATTTTAAGTAGTAGTAGCCCAAAACATATGGGATCTTGGTGCTAAAAGCTGAAAGTGTTACACTCCATGAATCGATGTCGTTCGTGGATATCTTAAAATATGTTAAATGTAAATTTATCTCAACAAATAAATAAATAATAGATCAATTTCGTCAAGTTTCCAAGAACTATTGACAGTACTCAATTATTTAAGTGCACTGATACTCTAAGACTACTGATGATAGAGCATATGAAACGCTGTATTCTTATTACTAATTATTTTTCTTCTAATTTTGTGGCCTAAAACATGCGGTATAATGTTTCCATATCTCTCCTGCTGACATGTTATTTTGAATCTACTGTCACGGGTAATACTTTCGCAAATATTAGATTTCGTGCAATAACGTATAATAAAGTTTGTGTTTCCATGGGGTAAGCTAATTTATACTTTTAAAAGCTGGAGATCTGTGAATTTTGAATTCATTGTGATTCAATTCCATAATTACCAAGCATGTTATATCTCTTTCAACACTTTGTCATTCTCATTTTCCTTTTAATAATGTTCATACTATTTTTTGCTTCTAGATAAGCCAAGGGTGTGGTTAAATACAAGTTATCCTAAAGGTTACTACAGCTTTAATGAGAGCGTTACGTTTGCTTGCCATGTTGAGAGTAAATCTAAATTTAACATATCGTGGACTTACAAAAGGCACCTCAAATTCAAGTTTCAATACATTGATGAAACAAATAAGATACTGGTTAGTTTAGCTCAAAGAGTAATGATTAATTTATTTTATTTATGAGTTATATAAAAATTAAAAGTAAAAAGATATTTATAATTTAATTTCTGGTAAAGCGTTTGCATGGTATGAATACAAATGAAACGAGTAATAATGCTGAAAGTGAGTCGATAGTTATGATAAGCCCGCTAGGAAGGTCTACAATCAAATGCACGGCTTGCAATAAAGATGGATGTGTCAATAAGGAGCATGATATTTATGTGACAGGTTTGTTTATTAAGACAAGTTTGAAATTTAAGATTATATAAAAACTTTTGTGATAAATTAATTTCTCACATTCTTTTTTTTTTAAGACGGAGTCCCCAATAAGGCTTTTGGAGTTATAGAGCCAAAAACCAAATTTTATGAAAGTCAAAACATCTCTTTAGTATGTGCCGCTGTCATACATATATTTTCCGAGGTACTATGGTATGACAATAAAAACGAAAAAATTGTAGATTCAGGTCAGTTCTTGATTTATGCAACAATGGCACTAATTTGAATTTTTAGCGTAGTTAGTATGGACTTGAATAATCTGTATCTTACAATTTTTCAGAAAGAATACACGTAACATTTAAAGAAACTAACTACACTGAACGTGCCATTCTGTCGATTACTAACGTGAGTCGTTCCGATGAAAGGGATTATTATTGCGTCACAAAAAATTTATATGGAAAAATTCGAGAGAAATATTCTCTTAAGATTAACAGTATGTATAAAAATATGGTTCTCTGAAACTATAATATTACTACACATTATTCTTATACAGCTTGGTCATTTAGATTAATGCTTTGAAAGATTTATTTTATTTAAGTTCCAGCTTATTTCGTTCATGTAAATATGAATGACTTTGCAATAATACGGTTTGCAAAAGATCCTGAAAATCCTGTTTATTTATTATGTTACATTGGAGGAACGCCAACCCCTAACATTACATGGTTTAAAGACGGTACACCTTTGGAGTCTTCAAAGCAGTTTAGTTTAGAGGATAGAAATCAAAAGTTAGTCATACGATATCTTTTGGAACGTGACAGTGGTAATTATTCATGTGTCGCAGAGAATGGCTTTTGGCCAGTAATAAAATCTCAAAAAATTATTGTCAAAGGTAACAATTACTGATGTATGTAATTTTGACATTTATAACGAAATAAGTTTTTTACATTATTGACGTACGGCGCAACCTTAATTGTCACTTTGTTATAAAAAACTTTGTGAAGAAAATAAAAAATTGCAATACATTTCATGATATTGTCAAGTTTAAAATAAAGTTTTTCATACTTTCTGCTAGTAAATCGAATTTTCATTTTCAAAAATTGGCAAATTTATGCTTTGGCTCCATTTAAAATGTTGTTTTTTAAGTTAAAAATTTTATTTCCTCATTGTTTTATAACAAATAGATATAGTTAATTTTCTTAATCATAAAAGTATTAACTTTTATCACCGACTTACAAAAATAATAGTATTTGTAAAGTAATTGGATTGTACTTCAGGAAATCAAGAACTTTACATTTGGATTGCGATGATAGTGTGGTTCATAACAATTCTCATTTCTCTTTTAATGTACTTTTATTTGAAAACTCAACATGCGAAGGTAAATAAAAAGTTTTAGTTGTTTCTTAAGAATAAAATTTGCCTGAATAAAATATTTTTATCATCGAATCAACAATAATTTCAAGTTTAAAGAAAAAAAACTATTAGAAGCTGGCAGTACGAATTTTAAAGAAGGAGCAGTTGATTTAATAAACCCAGATTTAACCGTAGACGAGCAGGCAGAACTTCTTCCTTACGATATTAGATGGGAGTTTCCTATTGAGAAGTTAAGATTAGGTAAAAAATTATAAATTTTTCCTACTGCCACTTAAAGACTATAAAAATAAACCTTTAAGTGATCCATAATAATGTAAACAACCTATTTATTTAATTACAGATGAGCAATTAGGAAGCGGGGCTTTTGGAGTTGTGTATAAAGCAGAGGCCTATAGGATTCTTCCTCATGAGTCGATTACAACTGTGGCTGTGAAAACAGTTCGCAAAAATGCAGATTT